CTGAAAAACAATTTGTCCCACAGGTGCCTTATTCTGTTGTTTCTCAGAGCTGCTTTTCCATTTCATTGGAAAGCTTTCCATCCAGCGGTCTAATCAGAAAATACTTCGGAAAGCAGAATGCAATCTAACAGACGGGAACACCTGATGGAGGAACGACATGCATCTCAATAGGGCTGGGCTTTAAACCAAACTTTTCTTGATTTCTACCGAATGCAATATGTTTAATAATTAACAAATCCAGTGAAATGCCCAAACCCACGAATGCATTAGTCATTCCCCTTTAGATTTCTGACTTCCCTTTTGTTTACGTCACTTGGCCGAAAGCCATATGCCTCTTTCTGCAGATTTATGTGTCTGGAAAAAGGTCTTAAATAAACATTTTGATTTCTCACAAAGGCCCGTTAATTTCCTGAAACAGCTGCGCTCTGTAGTTTTCAGTAAACATTATTCAAGCAGTTGAAAACGGTGCCTTTGCCTGGGACTATTTTCAGCGGAGGATTGATACACAAGAAAGGCATAGGCGAAGTTTGGGGGGGTTCCCGGGGTGCCCGGCACCCCCTGGTGGCCGGAGAAGACTCCGGCCACCAGGGGGTGCCGGGCACCCCGGGAACCCCCCCAAACTTCGCCTATGCCTTTCTTGTGTATCAATCCTCCGCTGAAAATAGTCCCAGGCAANTCGGGAGCTGGGCTAAGGTCGCAAAGCTGAATAGGCGTAGGCCTAAGCCTGATACTTCCTTAAGCCAGCGGCCATTAAATAGCTGGCGGAGGCCGTGTCAACTTCCTTTGAATCAAAGACTAACTGGAAGAATCAAAAAAGGTGAAAAGTTTGGTTGCCTTTTGTTCGCTAACATCCAGGGCTGATTTGATAACAGCGCTAACTGAAAGTAACACTCCTACGGAGCTGCTATACAAGCTAACCGTAGGCTGCTCAAGCATGATTGCTTGACGCCACGCGGAGAACGTTCGCTGCCTTTGTGTGCTGTGCCAGATATTAATTAATTGTATGCTATGCATTTTTCGCGCAAATGTATCAAGCTATTGTGCTTGTTTTACAGTGGAAGATATATATAAATTCATGGCTTAGTTATGACTATATACATTACTCGAAGAATTTGGTTTAAGAGGAAATGCTGGAGAGTTTACTAAATGATCTACAAAGTGGGCTGCCGAAAGAGAACTCTTCAAGATGTGAATGCATGCAGAATTACAGTTTAGTTCTAAAATCCGCTATATTTTTAGCTAATGGCATTAATTTGCTATTTTACAACCAAAATGCCAAACATTTAAATGTTACATACAGACAGACAGGACAGACCGCTCATTTTTGGCGGGTTAAACCAGTAGGCTGTATGGAAAACCTATTCTGGCCTTCTTTTACGGGGAGGGGCAGAATGCTCTCAAACATTCAGCCAGCCTTTCTGTTCCCAAGTTTACGATGATGTTGATTTGACTTAGGGGTTGGCTTAGGTAGCTGAACTCGTGATGCTGCCTGCCTAGCCCTGCTGGTTTTAGAAAATGAATTTAAGAAACAGGTTGGCGTAAGTAAGACTGGGGGTGTAGTTTTAGGGAGTAGTCAGTTAGCGTGCATTGTCAAGTTCAATTTAGCATTTTCTCTGTTCATGGATTTCATTACAGATCTTAATTTTAAATGATAATTTTCATATACAAATGATATAGTATGGGGGGCTCAATGGCTTTAATTTTTTTAATGAATGTCAAACAGACAACACCTGCTTCCAAGTACTTGGCGTCATGAATCCTGCTTAACGTTATCCTGGCTCCACAAATAATTTCCATCCTTATCCTCAATGTGTCTGGTGTTACTTGACACAGATTTATTCTGCAGTGTTTCCCACAGAATTTGATGTTCTACTTGTGGCACCGACCCCGCGCACGCCCCGGCCAAAAGAAAAAGCCAAAAGGGGCCCCTTAACCTATTTGGGTGGCTCATGGGCTACTGTAGACAACGATCTCGTTCTCTGTGTTGCCGTGGCTTAATGGACGGTGAACATCACGGAATTGAAAGATCTGTCGGGGTTCTTCCCAAAAAGTATCATTTTACATTTAACATTCAGGCATTTTTAGAAGACTTCTATTCCAAAGCGACATACACATTACCAATTACAGGGACATTCTCCCTGAGTAAACCGAGGGCTAAGTGGCCGTACTCAAGGCACACTTAGCTAGTGGTGCTTCCAGGCAGGATTTGAACTCACAAACCTTCCGATCATCAGGGCCCAGCCCTCACCTATCCATTAGACTACCAAAAATAATACGACTTAGAAGTAATAGTAATATAGAACTAATAAGATATATAGTATAAATATAGTGATATAATATATAGTAGAGTATATAAAAAGCATAATATATAGTAAATATTAGTTCATTATATATAGTTACTATATAGCGATACGCGGTAGTAGGTATATAGTACTACATATATTATATATACTTTAGCTATAATTAGTTAGGTATATGATATTAATATATTATATATTCAATATAGATTATTCAATTATATTATCAGTTATAGTATATATACACCACAAACCACCAGTGGGGCCCAAAAAAATTAATTTTACTTCAGTCACCAATTGCTGCAGTTATCCACTTAAAAAGATGAGAGCGCTCTGTAATTTTCATCCTTTAGGCTATACCTCAACTAATGAGACAAAATTGAGGAAAAAAAGAAAAAATCAGAAACACATTGGGGTCTGTTTTAAAGAATTTACTTGCGAAATTGCGATGGTGGATTGGGCAAATAAGTATCTGGGTCAATAACAAAAGTTCATCTCAATCTTTGTTATATACCCTCTTGTTGGCAAAACAGGAGGTCAACGGTTTTTCTGCCTAAGTCTTCACAAGGTTTTCACACACTGTTGCTGGTTATTTTGACCCCATTTCCTCCATGCAGATCTACATCTAGGAGCAGCTGATGTTTTTGCGGGCTTGTGTCGGCTGGGGCAACACGGACTTTCAACTCCCTCCAAAGCATTTATCTAATGGGTGTTGAGATCTGGGAGACTGGGCTAGGCACTCCAGGACCTTGAAATGCTTCTTACGAAGCCACTCCTTCGTTGCACCGCCGGCGGTGTGTTTTGCGGATCATTTGCTCATGCTGGAGAAGACCAGCCACGTTCATCTTCCAATGCCCTTGCCTGATGCGAAGGAGGTTGTCACTCAAAGTAATCTCACGGATACATGGCCACCATTATTCTTTCCTTTACACGATCAGTCGTCCTGGTTCCCTTTTGGCCAGAAACAGCCCCCCAAAGCATTTGATGTTTCCACCCCCATGGTTTCACAGTAGGTATGGTGTTTCTCTGCGATGCAACTCAGCATTCTTTTCTCCTACCAAACAGGTCTAAGTTGGGGGAGGTTTTTACAAAAGCTTCTATTTTTGCGCTTTCATCTGCACCATATGACATTCTCCCAATCCTCTTCTGGATCATCTAAATGCTCTCTAGCAAACTTCAGACGGGCCTGGACATGTACTGGCTTAAGCAGGGGGACACGTCTGGCACTGCAGGATTTGAGTCCCTGGCGGCGTAGTGTGTTACTGATGGTAGCCTTTGTTACTTTGGTCCCAGCTCTCTGCAGGTCATTGACTAGGTCCCCCCGTGTGGTGCTGGGATTTTTGCTCACCGTTCTTGTGATCATTTTGACCCCACGGGGTGAGATCTTGCGTTGAGCCCCAGATTGAGGGAGATTATCAGTGGTCTTGTATTTCTTCCATTTTCTAATAATTGCTCCCACAGTTATTTCTTCACACCAAGCTGCTTACCTATTGCAGATTCAGTCTTCCCAGCCTGGTGCAGGTCTACAATTTTGTTTCTGGTGTTCTTTGACAGCTCTTTGGTCTTGGCCATAGTGGAGTTTGGAGTGTGACTGTTTGAGGTTGTGGACAGGTGTCTTTTATACTGATAACGAGTTCAAACAGGTGCCATTAATACAGTTAACAAGTGGAGGACAGAGGAGGCTCTTAAAGAAGAAGTTACAGGTCTGTGAGAGCCAGAAACCTTGTTTGTTTGTAGGTGACCAAATATTTATTTTCCACCATAATTTGCAAATAAATTCTTTAAAAATCAGACAATGGGATTTTCTGGATTTTTTTTTTTTTCTTCTTTCTTTCTTTCTTCTTTCTTTCTTTCTTCTCATTTTGTCTCTCATGAAAATTACAGGCCTTCTCCCATCTTTTTAAGTGGGAGAACTTACACAATTGGTGGCTGACTAAATACTTTTATGCCACACTGTATATAAATAATAATTTTTTTTTTTTTTTTATGAGATCCATTTGTGACTGACGATATTTAATTGTGGCGGCCAGCCACAAATAAATCAATGTATGGGAAACACTGTTTTGTCCCATTGCTGCAGATATGCGAATAGATGTCAAAACACATTCAGTTGACTGCTAACACAAGGGGAAAGGGGCTTTATTGCTCCTACTGGATTCTACCTGATAATTGTGTTTTGTAAACAACACTTTTTAGAGCAAAAGATTTCCATAGCCCTGTAGTAAAGTTACATTTGACTCACTGAAGTTACGCATCGTGAGCAACAGTCTTATAATTTTTTGTTATGGGAGTCAATGGCAATTTCCTCCATATTAAACATTATGTGTGGTCTGAAGTATAGTGTATCAACACTGAGTTAGCGGGAACTCCCAAGCTTATTATGTACTTGTAGCTCTTGTAAACATTTTGAATCTAGATAGATAGGGAGTAGGTGTCTATGTATGTATCTGCTTTGTAAGGTTTAGATGTGATGATACTGCAAAAACATTTATTCAGGGTCAGCATTCCTGGTTGTTTTTAAGATTATCTTGACTAAACTACTTTTTAAATGAGTAATGATTTAAACCACAACACTGCTTACACCAGCACTTTTTTTTTTTACATCCTTCCTCATTCCTAAAATTCCTCTCTCACTCCGTTTAACTCTTTCCTTGCTGCCCTGTTTTTTCCCCACAGGAAGGAGCAATGGAAGCTACTGTCCAGCCTGAAGACCACAGTGGAGGGTCTCGTGTCTACCAACAACCCCAACGTTTGGTCACGTTACGGCGGCCTACAACGACTCCACAAGGACATGAACAACATCCTGAGCCATGGACTGAAGAATGAGCAGGTCAGACTTCCTGACTGATGTCATGCCTTCTTTTGTATTTATTCTCATGTATTCTCTTTCTAGTGTTATTTTCATCTAACATTTTGACAAGTATTTTTCCATCATCAATTGACTTCCTGAAATATGGGGAAAAAACATTTATCAATGGGATGCACTCGAATTGCATAATGGCCTATTGTCTTTATTGTCTTGTATTCTCTGTAACTGGGTCATGCTGGTTTTGTGCTGCAGGTGTACTACAAGCAGAGAGACTACTGGCCGTTTGTGTGGTGTGTTCGCTACATCAGCCCCAACCTCGCCTCGCACGTTGAACAGGTATTGTCACAGCTAGCATAATGCAGGGTGGTATTTCAATGTTTTCAACTTCAGCATTCAAATCTCTTGACTTTTGTCACTGGAGGTGAACATATGTGTACATATGTCTAAACACTGCTATCTTTTTTTGAGAGCTGATCTGCCTGTCAGACAAAACAATGCTTCCCTTTTTGTTAAACTATATGCAAAGTAAATACCTGATACATTTCACACTTTCAAATATCTGCAACAAAGTCACTTCCCTTCCTGGATGACCTGTTTGTGTTATCTAGAGTCTAGTGTTTGTGTTGTACCAGTACTCTCAACAAGGAAAGGGACGCATAATCAAATAAACGTATTATCTTCCTTACGCCCTCAGTTACTTACCAGCAGACGCTCACCACGTATAAATCATGTCACTATTGGTTTATGATATCTAAGCCTGTTTTAAGTTTTGTGCTGATATATTTTAGCTCACTCTTCATCGTAAACCCGTCCCTTCACCACCACCCAATTGCCTTTTTTTAGATGATTTTAAATGAAGTGTCATACAGACTGGGCTGCAAACAAACAGCAGTATGTTTAGAGTAAATACCGAAAATATTTGGAACAAGATCCAATTATACTGATTGTTGTGCTGTTTGATTACTAAATATTGTTGGAAAAATAATGATAAATGAGGACATCAAATCTCCCCTTTCACAATATGCACCTGTTTCAATTGTCTGTCTTTCTCTTCCTCTGTGTCTGTCCACAGTTCGGTCACCTGGAGCCGGTGCTGAGCAGCGGGATGAGGAATGCTGGGGAGAGCTACAAGGCCGAGCGCTGGCTCCTTCACAGCTTACAGGTTCACATGCTGTCTGCTCAGCTCAGACCTCTGCTCCGCCATATGGGACATACGAGTAAATACTATAATGGTGAGTTATAAAGGTCACAAAGGGTCACATCAATGTAAAGTTTAATTTGGAAGGCATTGGGGGCAAGTGTAAACTAAAGTAAGAAACAGCTCAAATACATGTTTCTTTGTTTTTCTATCCTTCTAATAACTTAAAAATGATCTCTCTCGTTACCTAATCTGCTCACCTTTCTTTGTCGGCCTCTTTGTTTATCTCCGTATGTCCTTTGCTGCCTTTCAGGTCATGCCTTTCTGCTGAGTGAGCCTCATGTGACCGCCATGTTCCAGTGTCTGGAAGCCGTGGAGCAGAATAACCCCAAACTGCTTGCCCAAGTAGACACCTTTGGGGTGGGTTTTGCAAAAATGACTGACTATCTAATCAATTATTGTTATTTTGTTAATAATTATTAAAAAACAAAGTGTTATATCACTGCATTTATACTAGAAAGGGGTATTGAATATAACAACAAATCCACTGTTTTGGTCTAGAAATATGTGATTTGTTTTCTTTAAATAAAAGATAAATGTAATGTGCACATTTGGGAAAAGGCCTTCTATTCTTTACCTCTCCCCTTCCACCATCCAGCTGTCCCCTCTGAAGGGCCCAACCTGTCTGGGCCTATTGAAGAGCCAGAGCCTGTGTGTATTGCCTGGAGCTGGTGCAGCTTGGAGAAGCGCAGACTCGGCTCCCAGAGGAGAATCTCTAAATCGCAGACTCACCACGTCCAACTGCTCGCTCCGAGAAGAAGTCGCTCCCAGCCACAACTCTGGGAGCACTACGGGAGTCGGACCCCAAAACAGCAATAGCACAAGTAAGGGAAGGGCTAATGGGGGAAAAGTATAGGTTCAAATCCATGTTCATCCTTGTTAAAAATAAAATGAGTGTAGAAGATTGGAAACGCTTGATATGTTGATCGTACATGTCTATTTATGAAAACGGAAATGAAATCTGGGTAAACATGGTGACCACTTTGGGTCATGGGGGTTCAAATCTGGAGCTCCGTTGTTAAATTATTTTGTATCATCTCGGTTGGCACTCATTTTTAGAAACATACATTTAAGCTAACCTTTTCACAAAAAAATGTCAGATCTCGGTACACACTGTCGTATTGGACCAGTGTGTTTGTTTCTATTTATGATGAGGATAGTTGTACATTCAGTTAAGCAAATGAAGAGAAGATGGTCACTATTCTGTAATCTGTACATACAGATCTAGAGGGCAGGATTGGAGGAAAGGCCCTATGAATGCACTACAGTTTGTATGTGAATAGCTCGACTGACTTAACCATACAGAGGTCTGATTGTTTGTGCACAAGGTCAGTTATTGAACAATGTGTTGATACAGCCTCGAAAAGTCAATGTCCTGAACTGCTTGTGCTTACTTAAACAGATACAACTGTTTCAGAGTGGTTTCCATTAAGTATCTCATAGGAACAGAGAAGCATCACTGTGACCTTTTGTCATGATCCATCTCACCTTATCTCTCCGTTCTGTTGCAGACCCTACCTCCAGCAGCACGGGGGCTCCCTGGTTGTGTGTGTCCCGGACGGGGGAGAGCGAGCGAGGGGTGACGCCACCTCTTGGCCCCGGTTCGATCCCTGGCACCTCCCTCTCAGAGTCCCTCTCGCCCGCCTCCTTTCAGCCCGATGCCGGGGACTCCTGTGACTGTGACTATGACGACGGTCCGGAGTATCTGGCTATCGGTAACCTGGGGCAACGCAGCCGCTGTGAATCCCAAAGCTCCACCCACAACAGCCAGGTGGACTTTACCCCGGACCTGTCCATGCAACGGGGTCCTCTAGCCCCGCCCCCACCGAGACGCTCCTCTTTCTCAGAGGGTCAGAGGGGGCCGGGCCGGGGGTCCCGAGGACACACCCGCTCCTTATCTGACACGGGGATCAATCAGAAACTCAGGAATGGTAAGTCGACTAAATATGTGTCACTCTTTTGACATTATCAATGTGTGTCACTTGTGTTGTATAACATAAAAGGTTTAATTTTAACATTAAAATATTTGATCATAAATATCCTCATGCATTTGTGCATTTAGGCAACATTTATCCAACATTTCTGCATATTCAAACTGCAACAGGAGATATGATGGGGGTTCTGGTTCAGATCACCTTGTTGATATGTAATGATAAAAGAGAATATAGCCTACTTACTGGAGTGGTGGTGAGCCCCCGTTTTTAGAGAGTTTTTAGCTGGTTTATTTCTTCCTCAATGCACCGATGCATTGCTTTGTGCTGCATGTTTACAGATTAAAGTGTTATGGTAGGAAGAACTTGTAAAAATCATTTTAAATCTGTTTTATGGGCATGTGTTCTATTGTGGAGTTGTATTCATTTACAGTATTAAAGAGATGTAAGGCTTCAGTTTCTGTCAGGTGAGGGAAAGACCTGATTTTCAATTCCTTTTTTGTACAATGTTTGGGGAGATTTAGATGGAGTCCATGAAAGTTTTCGTGTACGTGTGGCTCTGTAAAATGTGGTGAGCCCACGTTCTTTCCCCAAGGTGCCAACTTCCTATTTGAAGATTTAAAAAGTTTCCGAATTAACATCTCTATTCTCTATGCTCACTGTCTCCCCCTCTTTGCCTGAGGTAATTGCTCTCCTTCTGCTCTATATCTCTCTTTCTCCTGTTGTATTCGAAGGAGGGGGCCATCGAAAAATCACCATAATAATAGAAGATCCGGTGGCAGGTTGGCAGTGCAGTTCCACTGTGCTCCCTCACTATACCCCCCTCCCCACTCCCTTTTCCTTTCACCTCTGCATGCTGATGAACTCTTTCCATTCCTTTTCCTTTCAAGTCTTGCCATCAGCTCCTTATATGTGCTTTTGTTGTTTAAAAAACCTGTTTTGGTTTGTCAAATGAGCCATTCCAGTGTCGTGTTGGTTGTTTATGCACACATTCTTCATGACCACTCAGTGTTTTGTTGACATTATCATGCAAGTTCTATACAAACTGTGTTTAAACCTGATCATTTCATTACACATTACAGCTGTGCTAGTCGGTATAACTGATGTACTGCCATTGTGATTTAGAGTTGTCCCTAAAACAAACAAACATTTAATAATAATAATAATACATGTAAATAGCAAAGCAGATGCTGTCCTGTATGTGTTAGATGTACAGTATGTGGACATGCCTTGAATAACATTATTACATCAAGTAAAACTCTCCTTTACAAACCTGTGCATAGAAGTGTATCACTTTCTATGAGCTGAGCACACATTTGGAACATGTTATTGCTGTAAATATTATTCATTTAATTGTGTAAACTCAAAACCGTGGTTGCATTATTTCATTTGATTATTTCTGCAGCCTTATCTGTACATCCTTAATTACAATAGTTACAATGACAAGGGTCAAAAGTCATGTTTTTGTTGACGCATGTGATAAAATGAACCATCCTCATGGGTTTTATTGATTGTTTGCCTGAAAAGCAACGATAAACTCCAAACTTTTAACTTGCTTTGTGTATAGATGATGATGCATGTTCCCATCCATTTGAAAGTGTTCATTTGAGTGATTCTGCGATCAGGAGATAAGAGGCCTCTAACGTGGACCATTTGTCTCTTAGAATCGGCAGGGCAGGACTGCTGTATAAAGAACTACAGTCCTTTCTCACCTCAGCGCAAGGATGTCAGCACTCCCAGTTCCCTCTACATGGAGTCCCGTGAGTTTTCTGTTTACGTTTAAATGTTTCACATATTCAAGAAAGATTTTAGCTAGAGAAACTTTATAGCATATTTAAATGTATGAGGAAGTTGAACAGGAAAACTGACATGAGGTGTAAGAAAATACATGTTTCAGTTCCTGAATGTAAATGTATCCTGCGAGTCAGCCGGTCAATAGACACGACCCACTGGACCTGAGCAGAAGCCTGTACTACGAAGCTGGTTCAACCTAACCTGGATATGTTTGAGTTAGCCGGTTGTCCTAATCCAAAACATACGCGCTCTCGCTAAACGGTACTTCGACGCTGGTTATCAAGTGGATCGCTCAAGCCAGCCGTGTCCTATCTAGTTAGGTGCGCGTTCACATGAAAGGGGTGGTATTTGGAGCATTCGACCAATCACAAACATGGAGAAGCGTACTGACAGCGCAGCGTCATACTTCCTGAATGAAAAGTCAACTATAATATTAGACATATGAACTGAAGAAGTTAAACTTTAAACATCCATGACGTAACACTTTATCCAGGATAAAAGCCACATAGTTGCACCTGCAAGGTGAATACAGCTGGTAAAAGAAAAAGTGTTTGCGTACATTAACAGGTTTATGATATCACTGCCCCGTCTAAGACACGAGTGGATCTGACTTTAATTACATTTGTCTCGAGTGTTTCGTCAACTTAATGTGTTGCTTAAAATAATACTTCTGCATACAGTATGTGACACTGTGAGTGTTGCACGGCCAGACACGGCTCAGCTGACTCAGATAAGGAGATATGATACATTATGATGTGATATGCCGCGGACTGTACTTAATGTTACTCTGATTCGGTTACTTATGTTGTGGTAGATATTTAATTAAGCTTTCTTAATGCTAATGTTTTAATAGTCAGATTGCTCTGAAGATGGGAGGTGATATTCTATTAATGTTCACACAGTCGGTGATTTTTGCCGGCCGTCTTTCCTGCAACGGCAGCTTTTCTGTATTTCCTTTCTCCTGTAATATGACTTGATCGCTTTAAACTCCGCACACTGAGCTCTGATTGGTCAGCAGGCAGTGCTTTCACTGAGTTGAGCTCTTAGCCTGCAACCTAACCTGGTCCCGATCAGGTTAGCCGCACAGCATAAGTTACCATGGAGATCTAGCCTGCTAAAAAGAGAACCAGCTTCGTAGGACCGGAAACCCAGAGTTTTCCCTGAAGTTAGCCGGCTAAGCGAAAATCCTACTTCTTAGTATACTCCCCCAGGAAAGTAATAGAAAGGTTAATTCAGAGTGTCTGTTATGGAGATTTTATGGGTTGCATTATAAGAAATGCAGTTTGCTTTGGTCAAGCTTAGACCATATTCCCTTTGCTTAGTTTTAAACTCTGTTTTAAAGGCATCTTTTTTTAAACAAACGGCTTCGACAGCTAACACAGATTTATAAAATACATCCAACAATAAACACACACATACACTTTTTCTTACAGTTTCTGTTTTGTTTAATGGTGTTGTGTATTTTCTGCCAATTGTTATGTTTCTTCAGATGGGTCCCAGTGCAGCATTGTTTCTGATGGGATGTTCAGGAAGCCGTCGGAGGGTCAGAGCCTCATCAGCTACCTGTCGGAGCAGGACTTTGGCAGCTGTGCTGACCTGGAGAAGGTCCGTGCTTTAACTCCCTCTGACCAAAGTCGTGCTGATTGGTCAATCACTAACTTGGAAAAAATCTGATTATTTACACTTTTCACACAAATTCATGCAGTTCAAAGTGATTTTCAAATACAAAACTCTAGTGTTAAAAATCCACTGTGATAATATAATTAATTATATAAATAATCATGCAGCGTTAGCCTCCTATTGCATCCGTTGATGGTGTAGTCTCCTCTGATTGATTCACAATTTTCATTTGCTTTATAGGAGAACGCTCATTTCAGCATCTCAGAGTCGCTTATTGCTGCCATCGAGCTGATGAAGTACAACCTGCGGCGTCAGCAGGAGGCGGGGGAGGAGGAGGGGGACAGCGACAATGAGATCCAGCAGCTCAAACAGAAGATCCGCCTACGAAGGCAGCAGATCAGACGCAGCCGCCTGCCGCCCTGCGCAAACTCCCAGCAGCGTAAGGCAGCATGACGGTCCTCTGTACAGACGCATCATGTAACAGTTTATTTTTTAAAGTGCTTCATTGACTAAGAAATGATCAGATGATTTACCATTTTATGGTCTATTAATGGTATGTGCTATTACTTATGAGACATTACCCAATTGAAAATGTTGTATCTCAGTAACTTTCACAAATGTACCTAATAAGAATTAGTTGAAGCGTAGATAGCTTCTTCCTCAGATTGATTAGTCAATGTTGTATTTGAACTTTTAATCAAACACAAATGTCTTACATTCAAGACTTTCTTACCACCTTTATTCATACCTTAAAACCACTTTGAGGATTATTTCTTCCCAACCAGGACTAATGGGGCCAGGCTTGTCAGTTGGTTTCAGTTTAGCATACCTTTCCAGTTAGCTATATCATAATGTATGGTACGATAATGAACAAAACAGGTTAAATATTTCTATATATTTTATTTCTTAATCTGGGAAATCTTTGAATCAAGGTTCAAGGTTCTTTATTTAGTCATACGAACATCAATGAAAATCTTGTGTCACAGGCTTCTCCAACAGTGCAACACAAAACACAGATTAACAGAAAATATAGTGCAAGTAAATAGTAATACAAAAAGAAAAATAGTTTAAAAAGTGAAATAGTGCAATAAGAGTCTATATGCAAGTTATTGAAATATGATATATAGGTAAATAGATACATATTTTTCAAGTAGCAGCCAGATGAATATTAAGGATGTTGTTTCAACTGTTCAGGTGTTTAACAGATTTAGCTTCAACAGTTCAGGTGTTTAATCTGTGATGTTCGTGCAAAAGTATGCAAACGACAGCTCATGATTGCTGGGATGATGAGAACATTCTAACAGCTTATCCTTTGTTTCTCTATGGTCCTTTGTTTAATCGCTTCTCTCTCTCTCTCCTGCAGTTTTCCACTCCACTGACAGCGGGGGCTCCAGGCGGAGCTCTCAGGACTCGTACCAGGGCCTCTCTGACTCCGGCTCAGCAGAGGAGGTGGAGGAGTGCGAACTGCAAGGTAGAGAGAGGGAACACCACGACATATTATCACTCTTTGTTTTTTCAATTCAACGGTTTTACCTTCCAGCTGCTGTCAAAACATTTTTGATTCAGTTTTTTATATGCAAGAGTTCTTCCAATAACTAATGTTTCTGTGTGAATGAATTTGTTTCTATTATACTCTTGTTACATAATCATTATCACCACTCTTCTTCATTTTGCTCACCAAGCATGTTACATTTGACCATGAACCATAAACACTGAAGTTCAAAGGTCGCAGAATGGCAGCCTGTAAATGTTTTTATTACTGTTAGATTTTTTACAGACTTTACAATCATAAGATGTTAGTGTTGTTTTGTCTTACAAATGGTTACTGCAATTGACTAATCAATAACATATGAAGATATCAAGGCTGCACCAAATGTCATTTATTTTATATCTGTTGCCTACATTGAGGTTTTAGAATAAACAAATGTTGGGGGGTTAATCATCATGATGTGAATTTCTAAATAACATTTCCGACGCAGCCACCATTCAAATCTAATTCCACAAATGGCATAATAAATGCACTTGCTCAGCAATCGGTTGTTCATTTAAGATTCAAACAATTTTAAATTAAATTTCATTAAATATTTGGTACAGCCCTAAGATTTGTTGCTTTGATGTTTTTAACATGTGTTGCGATATATTTACACATGTGCATGTTCTATATGTTTTTTGTTTGACCGTGTTTGTTATTAACTTTACTTCTCAGTACTCGGTCTGAGCATGCACAGTTAGTCACATAATGAAGCTGTATAAGCAGGGGTGCACATAACCTGTTCGCCAGTGAGCACGCTCATGAACTGTTCGCTGTTCACTGTATGCCTCGCAGCAGGGTTACTGTGTGGAGCACCTAAAGCAGACCCTTCACGCGATAGCGAGGGGTAGAGCGAGGGATTGCAGATGCCGTCGTGCTCGCGGACGGATTAAAAAAATGAATGGGTCGCGAATTCTACTGTGGCAGCCGTTAATATACCTGGGCGGCCCGCCCAAGTAAAGTCTATGTGTGGGAAACCCTGCTATCTTACCAGTTCTTATGCAACTCGCAAATATCTCTCTCTCTCTTCTCTCTCTCTCTCTCTCTCTCTCTTCTCTCTCTCTCTCTCTCTCTCTCTCTCTCTCTCTCTCTCTCTCTCTCTCTCTCTCTCTTCTCTCTCTTTTCTCTCTCTCCTCTCTCTCTCTCTCTCTCTCTCCTCTCTTTTCTCTCTCTCTCTCTCAATGTTGGTGCGCAAATGCGCTTTTTTTCAAATGATCCGGTTCTCCTTTTTTGGCGGGGGGTGCGCATGCGCACCAGTTATGTGCAGCCCTGTGTATAAGAGCATGATGCCCACATGTACTATGTACTGCGTACTAGTATACTGTTTGTTTGCCTGCGACACTGACATACCGCTCTGAGGATTGTTTCAAATGTTTGTGCGTGTGGTGCTGAGTGTTAGTTTCTGTCTCTCAGATGGCTGTGAGGGTCAATCCCTGCTGGCGGTGTCTCAGAACGGCCTCTCCCTGTCCCTCGCCTCACTCTTCACAGGTATCTGCAGGCTGGACGAGGGGGCGAGGCTCCACAGCTTCAAAACAGACAGTTTACTGTGAGAGGAAGGCGATGGCCCGACTTCAAACGGAGAATTTCTCCCGTTAATCCTCCCAATAAACTGAATGACACTTCAACCGTAACTTTTGCAAGTTACTGTTTATAGCTTATCTTATATCTTTCTTGAATCATAGTTATTGGTTATGTTCAATTGTCTGGAAATGAACTATAGGAAAAAACTCCCAAACTATCACATTGGACTGCGGCTTTCACTTTTGATTCTGCATGACTGTAATGGAGGTCATGCGGTCTCAACCTCAAGTAAGGAAACGTACTAAATTGACAGCCAAAAGACCCACAAACAGTTTTTGCAAAGGCATAACAAAATACTAATAATGTTTTAATTCCTTTGATTTTGGGTTGGCGTTACATAAACAAAAGCAATGTTCAGTTGCTGTATTCCTCTGATAACATATCTGATATAATCCATCCATAAGAAACCTACTTTAATCTTACTTTTTATTAGGCAAATAAAAAGCTGTAATTGTACTACAGTGTTATTCGGATGCAAAAGATTATTTTGATATGACTCCAGTATCATCAATTATTATTCTAAGCAGGGCGGGGGAGTAATGCGAGCGTTCAGTTTGGAGTCGAGCCACCGGCCTGTCCTCGGCTGAATGGTGCGCTTGGCTGTTTGTGTTGGTGCTTGTTGTTCGGTGCTGCAGAGTTTTGGTGGACGAATATGCCTGTTAGAGTTTAGGGAGGCTCCTTCTGTGGCAACAGTAACTACAGGGGTTAATCACTTATTCATTCATCAATCCATCCCATTATTCAGCATTTCAAATCTGACTCTGGTGAGAATGAAGCGTGAAGCGTGAGTGCTGCCCAATATTAACAGTTCATTCTGTGTCGGTTTATGACATATAGCTGATTTTGGCTCAGGCAAAGTGATGATTTGATCTGGGTCACACAGGCTGTTTTTTATGAACATAATACAACATAATAATGCATGTTCTTTAAAATTATTCTTGTGGGTGATGGTCCTCTGAAAGCACCAGCAGTTTAAAAAATATTTAAATAGAGAAAGTTTGTCAGAAATATATTGAATTTAGTCAGCAGTCTTTATGCCCTCAACCAAATGTAGGAGAAGCGATGTAATAAATGATCACAGAGCATGTTGCAAAAGAAAGAGAAAAAAACTCTAGTCCAATGCGGGTTTTATTTAAAAACACAAGACCCATGCTCCACTGATAGAAAGAAGCTGCTGTATTCTCACAAGAATTCATGCAGGCGGTCTCCTGTTCTACCAAACCTCTCCTGCTTAGTATCTGTGCCTACATGTTGTTTGTGGTGTGTAACAAGAAAATAGGGCAGCAATGCTCTGCTTATGCTCTTGGCTTTCCTGCATGCTACTTCCTAAATTGCTGTAAAACAAAACAATTATTGTCTTTAACGAGAGATTGTTTCCTTATATTCCTCTTTTTTTCCGTCGCTAATCACATCTCTCTTACAACATTTATTTGAACCAACATTGATCGCTGCTTAGCTGTAGTAAGTAGGTGTACCCCTGTTGAGAAATCACGAGCCGACTGCTGGTACATTCAGCTCTTTTCACGACAAATCCCGCCGTCTTCTGATAGTTATTTTAAATTCTATTGATCTTAAACTTTTGATTTTAATTATATTAATTAATAATCTTTTCATAGCTATGGCTGGTGGATAAAATGTGTATACAAATTGCACTCTGCTTCTAAGTAGTAAATGTATTTAATTTAACTGTTAAATCATTGTCTTCCAGATGCAGACATTAAGCGCAGCATGAGCTCCAGCAACAGGTCGTTTCTCAGCTCAGAGTCCATGTAAGTAACACAGCAACTCCTTGTTTCCCCTCTAATTATACATAATAATGTAAACATTCTTAAATATGTAATGCTGTTTAATGTTGCTTCGACTTTTAACAAAACATTATGTCCTATTAACATTTTTTAAAATATATTCTTCCTTTGTTTATTTTAGCTCTCCCGCCTTCCTCCAGTCTAACTCAGCGGAGTCAGTAGCCATGGGTTTACTCCGGCAGTTTGAGGGCATGCAGCTCCCTGCGGCCTCCGAACTCGACTGGCTGGTCCCAGAACACGACGCTCCGCAGAAGGTACAACATCTTCAACCTCAAACAAGACACTCGACATGCTTAGATAATATAATAAGTTGATTTACAGCAGATAGAACCCCTCCAAAAAAGAGTTAACTTTGAACTCACTCCAATTCTATGCTGCCTCCTAGCTGCTGCCCATCCCCGACTCTCTGCCCATCTCTCCTGATGATGGCGAACACGCAGACATCTACAAGCTGAGGATCAGGGTGAGGGGCAACCTGGAGTGGGCCCCTCCCCGACCACAGATCATATTCAACATTCATCCCGCCCCCAAGTGAGTTAACCACCTTCATCGACTTGCTCAATTTCTTATTATTTAGTTCTTAATTTCTATGTTTTGATCTGCCATTTAACTTGGTTTCTCATCTTTTTTTAAGACACACTGCCTGCCATCTTTTATTTGTATATTAGACCACTGTTCTTGCTGTTTGCCCTACAAAATGTATTTTACTGACATGTTATATTCCCTTGACAGGAGGAAGATAGTTGTGGCTAAACAGAACTACCGCTGCGCTGGCTGTGGCACTCGCATCGACCCAGGTATTACCAAAAATACTCCAGAAGTCCATTTTTTATCAAAGTTTCAGTTCTTGTTTTTAATTTACCAAGTGCCTCGTTAACACTTTTTCTTAGTTGGTCAGCTTGCCATAAACTTGTTTTCCTATTGCACTTCTCTTTTTATATCAACAATTCTATGCAAATATACTTTAACTTTACTTTACTAATTCCATATTCTTACCTTTACCCCACATGTGTCTCTGCTTTCTGTCCACACTTCAGATTATATCAAGCGCCTGCGTTACTGTGAATACCTCGGCCGTTACTTCTGCCAGTGTTGCCATGAGAACGCCCAGGCGGTTGTTCCCGGCCGAGTGTTGAGGAAGTGGGACTTCAGCAAGTACTATGTCAGCAACTTCGCCCGGGACCTGCTGAGCAAGATCGCAGGAGACCCTCTGTTCAACCCCAATGACATCAACAGTGGCCTGTACAAGAAGAACAAAGCTCTGGAGGTCGTCAGGGTGAGCACAGCCGGATGGAAAATAAGTCATTAGGAATTGTTGTCAGATCTATTTTCTTAAACTTTCTCTGTTTTTTTTTACCACTATCTAGTAGAAACAAAACCATAATAACACGTTTCACTTCTGTTTATTAAATTAGCTGAACAGCCACTATGTTCTAAAGTCGTCTGAGAAGCATGATGTATCGTAATTATAAACCAGCAAACTTGTGACTGACTTAAAATACATTAGAATGAATAGAGCCATTTATAGCCATTTCTCCTTGAAAACAGACATGTGATTCTGAAAAAGGCACATCCTAATGGACATGGTTTGGCAGGATTGTGCTTAAAGAGCAAGAATGCAATGTTAAACCTTTTCATGGAGAGGAGAAAAGGCACAAGATGTTTTTTTTAATATCTGTCCATGCAGGATATAGCTACTACAAAATATGAGAAATTAGACACTTGCTCATGTCAGTTAGCTTTCAGGGACAATCATTATCAAACCTTTTAACAGCACAGATGCTGCATTTGCCAGAAAAGCTGAATTGTGTCTGTAGCACTTGAGCAGGCAATAGTTACTAGCACAGAATGAAACCATAGTAATCAGAATAGGAGGATCAAATCAATGCAAACATATGTTGAGATATAGAGTCTGAACTATGTGGAGACAAGAGGGATCAACAACACAATGTTAGGCAATATGTTCCTGTCAGTGTTTATTAACCAACATGATTCATTTTTTGTTGATTACCTTTTTTTTTTAGGTTTTGAGGGTGCAGCTGTTTCACATGAAAAATCTCTTCAAGACCTGTCGCTTCGCTAAAGAGTAAGAAGTCTGCTTGTACATGTTTTTTGGTTTCACAATAATAATACAAACAAATCTCCCTGCATAGATGGACATAATCAGTGTGTCTATTTGTGTGTGTGTGTCAGGGTGCTGGACCAGTTCGACAGCCTGCCAGGTCACCTCACTGAAGACCTGCACCTCTTCTCCCTCAATGACCTCTCTGCTGTACGCAACGGGGACCTGGCTCCACGAATGAAAGAGCTGCTGAAACATGGCACCTCGCACGCAGCTGGCTGTGTGGTAAGATGCAGATCAGGAACGTCACTATCAGAAACAATGCCCGACGTGTTTTGGACGTAATATGGTCTTTGTTTACATTAGCAAGCATCGCTAGCACTCAGAGCTAACCTGTACTGGAGAGAGTATGTGTAAAGAAGCAGGATATAATAAAATACTCACCTTGTGGTAAACCCGCAAGAGAAAAAAGCATTTGAGCTCCATACTGTTTGAGAAATAATTCTTGATGTGGTTTTTGTACATAATGTGGCGTTTAGTCACGGCAGCATTTAGCTGAGTATCTGTCGGTAGAGTTCTCCTGCATGAGCTCCCCCTTCTTTCTTTTTCTTTTTTAAAGCTACAAACCCAGAATCAGCACTTCTCTAACAGGGCTGAAATAGAGGGGTATGAGGCTTGGCTAGAATGGGTGATCTCTTTGAAGTATTTTGAGCAAAATACTTCATAGACATTTTCTTTGATATATATATATATATATACCTATAGTATTGTAGGAGACCTTTTAACATGAAGAGTTAATCCATCTAATTATTGCAGTGATTTCATACAAAAGTAAAATATTAAACCGGCGACCTACTGCATGAGGAACTGTTGTAATGTCTGCAAACATCCAGAGATTTCCATAATCAAATGTCTGTTTTTCTCTGTCCTTTTTGTTCCTCGAAACTCTTCTAGCTGTGCCAGGCGAAGGGCTTCGTGTGCGAGTTCTGCGGTAACGAGAAAGACATCATCTTCCCCTTCCAGCTGAACAAGTGCCAGCGCTGTGAAGGTGAGCCCTCTCTGCTCGCCGCAGGCCAGGGCGGCCCAAAAGCCCCCTTCGTTTCAGTTCCTTGGAGTGACTGGAACATCTCCAAACATCGTAGGCTGATGAGGGCTCTCTTTAAAGACAGGAGGGAGGGCGAGGGAGGAGAGCCGGGTTTAGAGCGAGGTGTTGATCAGGGAGTGAAGGCTGGAGGTCAAGAGGAAAGGGAGGGAACAGCAGGAGAGAGACAGGAAAGAGGGGGAATATTTCAAGTGTTCACACCTGGAATGTTTGCGAAAGCTTTCACCAGGAGTAAAGGCAACGAGGAAGAGCAGGAGGTTAAAACAGACACAGAATCAGAGGGGGAGAAAGAAGTAAAGTGTGATGAAGGAAATGGTAAAGATGGAGATGATTGTAGCCAAGAGAGAGAGAAGCGGAAGGGAAGGGGAAATGCAAGAAAGGAAAGAGTAAACATATTGAAGGTTCTTCAGATTGACAGATTAAAGAAGAACATAGCGGAAGCAGACGGGAGGGACAGTGACAGCGAAACATGCAGCAGCAGGGAGAGCCTAAATGAAGTCGATCAGGATGTAAAAGCACGCTGGAGTTTAACAGGGTTAACAAGTCTTATCAAGGGTTTCTCCAAAAGAGAGATAGAGGATGAAGGAAAAGCAGAAGGGAAAGAAGAAGAGTCTGAAGAAGAGTCTGAAGAAGAGTCTGAAGAAGAATTTTCAGAGAAAGAAACAGAATCTGTGGAGGAAGGAAAACCCAGCAGTAAGGGGGAGGAGGATTATGACATTTCAGACAAAGGCCAAACAGAGGCAGCTAAAAGAGAGAACTCTGGTGCAGAAAACGTGGAGAAGTTTTCGCTTATGAAATTGTTACAACCCAATCAGCTGTCGGCTGTTTTCTCTAAAGGGAGGAGCAAAGGAAAGGTGGATAGGAGTGAGGTGAAAAGAGAGAGGGACACTGAGAAGGTCCAACCTGAGCCACACGTTATTACCCGGAGTAACTGGAGAGGTCGTAAAACTCGCAAAGCCATGAGAGAATCGAGAGGGAGGAAGGTTGAGAAGGAAGGGACAGACGGGGGGGGAGAGAGTGCAGAGAGTAGTGACCGAGATGATTGAAACGAGAGAGGTGGGGGACGAGAGTAAAAGCAATATGTAGAAAGACAGTACTTCAAGCTTCAAAGGCTAAGTAATGCTGTCACCTTGAATAAACAAATGTAACCCACATCAAATGTAAGTCCACTAAATTGCTGAAGGCTTAATAATTGATGTATCAGCTGGATAATTATTGCCTTGTCCAGATATGTATGACTTTTGAATGAACAAATATGTTTAGATTAGTTCTAATCGTACCAAGTCTTTTTGGGGTTGACGGAGGTTTTTATCTGTTTTTTATTTTTGACTATTAAGCATTTATGGTCCGTAGATTTCAAATGCTCTGTTGTAGAGCTGCACAACTGCAACTACATCGACAACATGGAGGCAGCTTTGACTTACTTGCTCACTGCCAAACATGTAACAGCCTGCTCAACCGCCACTCCAAAGTATGAAATGTGCTTGGCGCAGTTAGTGTCTTGGCTGTAGTAGCTTCATATTTAGCGAAAGTGGTATTGATTTTTTTTGTATTCTTACTCTTTGCATGAATTGAATTGGGTACCAAACTCTCAGAATATTCCTTTAAAGTATGTTACTGTTGTAAGAATATTGAAGTCTAACAAACAGAATAATTGTGCCATCCTACCTCCTATATTTCTTGTGCCTTGTCACATTAAGTACACTTTTTCTACTCTTTCACTTGGCACCGGGTTTGTGCACTGCGGTGGTTTTTGGTATTTCTTGGCTTTTGATTCTGAAGTTTGCACACTTGCTCGGCTGGTGGAGGGTAGATATTTGGCAGCTATGTGGTGGTGGATCCCTTTGTCTGGTGTTGGTGATGGTGTAGAGCTTGATGACTGGTACTCTAATTGTCATCAGAGGTTAGTTTCCTCTCTCTGAGCTATGTTCTGCTTTTGTCTTGGCCACACGGATGGCAAATGATACTTAAGTGGTGTGTGGATCACTCATAAACATTTACATTTCAGTTTGTTTTGGCCATGTTTTTAAGTTTGTTCTGTTACACATGTTCCCCCTGAGCCAGTGGAGGAGTCTTGTTCTATCCTAAACAAATGCTACTTCATCTTCTGACATCAGCAGAAGTGATGTTTCATTTCAATTCAGACTCTTTTACTAGTTTAGAGGAAACATCGCCTCTTGTTTTATCCATTTTGTATTTTATTTATTTTTCTGTTGTCTCATTAACATGAGGTCCCGCCACGTGTCAGTATGAATGTCTATTTATTATTTTAGTTACTTTTATTTAAGTTTCATCTTCCTTTGAACAAATAAAAGCCATTTCCGAAGTTGCGTTGCTTGTCATTTCATCCTACCATCATCAGACATTTTTAGAAAAACAAACAAAACAATTTCCGTCGATTTCTAAGGGAATGAAAGGGTTATAAAGCTCTCTGTTGGCCTCTGGGGGAAATGGGATGTGTCTGAGCAGGTTTAGGGTGTGGTGTGTGTCTCTCAGGATACCCGCCCTCTCACACCGAGCCTCCTCCTGCCTTCTGCTGCGCTGCCTTTCCTTTCTGTTCTTTTATACTGTCCTCCTCACCCTGCCTCCATCAGGTCTGATTGTGATTGGCTGTTCTGTTGACACATCACATCTCCTTGTTGGGGAAACTGGTTTTACTGGTTCAAGTTTGTGGACACTGCAGCAATGTTTGGTTTGGCCGATGGGAGCTGCTCCCATGAAAAACGGTTCCTCTTGTAAAGATGACGCGTGTTGTATCTCTGACTCTTGTTTTTGTTCTCCCCTCTACAGAGTGCCATGCGTGCTATCATCGAAACTGCTTCCGGACAGGTAAAGACTGTCCTCGATGTCAGCGGCTGGCAGAGCGGAGGGAGAGGATGGCACGTAAAAACATGGAGGAACAAGAAGATGAGGGAGGTGGGCCTTAGTGCTGGTAACCGAATAAACTCTAAGACGAGAGAGAAGCACAATTCGACCATGATTGTAGTGACTGAACACCGCTCTTTGCGTTCTAATCCTCTGCCTGCGAGACAATACTGCAAACAAATGTTTTGATCTGATAGACTTCCAGATGGTTTAAACGCATCAGCTGTGTTAGTAATGCTACTGTGGATTTTCAGATGCTTTTTAGTGTAAGCTAAGCCCCTTTCACACTTGCACGTTACTCTGTGAATAGAGGTAGTCAGCGTAACTTTGAATAGAAGACATAAGTCGATTTTCCATGAAAATGAAGTGTCTTCTTTCAAAGAGATCGCAAAAAGAAACTTGGCTTTAAAAACAACAATCATTGAATTAAGTTCAGATTGGTTTATAACTAATTCCTAATGTAACTTTATTTAGTTTGATACTCTGGTGACCTCTACTGGCAGTATCACCAAACACTTTGTGGCAGTTGTGACACAAAGTTGTGGGACAAAGATATACACTTAATTGTTCTAAAGAAAAGTGTAAATGAAAAGTCCCTCTGCCTTACAGGAATATTCCACACTGTCCATGTTGCAGTAACATGTGTGAAAAGGGCTTGAGATGTACTAAACTTCTTGGCACTTTGTTCCTCTGTGGTAACACTAATATATTTGAGGTCTAAGTAGATCAGAAAACAATTATAACCAGTTAAGATATTGTTCCTTCCTACCATTGCAGCTTCTGGCAACTGCTTTACCTCTGGTGATATTGTTGGCTACTGGCTTAGCTCAAGTTTGTATTTCTGAACTAAGGATCTATTTTTAAGAAATATATAATGGCAAGTAAAAAAAGATTAGATCTAGTCTATATTTTTGACAGCTTTTTCAGTGCAGATACTGTATTTAATCCTGCCCTTAACGTTAATATATTGAAGATATTTAATCAATCCTATTCTTTTCCTCGCTCCTTACTGTCCTGTTTTATACTCTTTTAGCCATGCTGATGTGCCTCTGGGACCAATTAACTTGTACTGGTAGAGCTAGCAGAGTTATTTTGGAAAGAGGAGTTTAAAGAAGGACTTCACTTCTGAGTTTTAGAATCAGTGTTGAAAATATTTTAAATGAAACTGCAAATGCTTCATTTTTGTGCTGCTTTGTGTGAGTGTGAGGTGTGTGTGTGTGTGTGTTTACTATGAAAAGCTTTGTGAATAGGTGTGCTTGTGTGTGTATGGGCACATGTCTACATGCTGTACATGCAGCCATGCAGAAATGGTTTGATCCAGCCTAATCAGCACTTATTTTCTAACACGTTTGTCTTTGGAGAGTCGAGTTAATTGCACTGATCCTGTCTGTTGGTGGGGGTGGGAGTTGGGACGTCACTATGGGGATTTTTCCTAATGTTCGTTATAAGAACATGAACCTTCACCGTGAAAAATGCACATGTTAAGCGTTTCAGTCCAAAATAAGAGAGCTACAATTAAATAAAGTAATTATATTAACATGCAGCAAAATCATTACGCATTCATCGCCTTTTCGACTGAACCTCATCGCATTTAAGTTTAAGGTTTTCACTTTCAAATAATTTTGGTCTAGTACAATGGTTTCAAAACGTATTGGCCCTACATTTGTAGCAAGCAGCTGGATAGTTTACCTTTGCATTGCATCGAGTCTTGTAAGAGAGCGAAGCTGATGGCTAGGTAAAACAACCTGCATGCTAGCACCATTAAAGCTCAGTATTTAACAAAGCAGTTTGACCAAATGGTCATTTTGATTTCATTATATCTTGTTTATTCAATCATCTGGTGACCCCCTTAGTGTGGAACCACTGGTCTGATATTCATTTGAGATTGACTTAAAACATCTTATTTTACTTCTATGACTCAAGTGACTACTATTTGCTCAGTCGGTTAGATTAAAACTCTAGAGTATATTTTTTAATAAATTATATATAAAGTTCAAGCCATAGTTATTAATGGAAGGATATTTTTGAGATTGGCAACACACTGATTAAATCAAACCCTTTACACTGAACTCCAGTTCCAGGTGAAATTGTTAATGGAGAGTACATACCATCCTCAACAGGCTTTGCTTTATGTGTACAATCTTTCACGAGGTAAACAAACTCATGAGATCAAACGTAAAGCGGTACATGTGACACGTCCCCAAGCCTCTAAAGACGAGTATTAAAGAGAGAAACTGCACCCATGTCTCAGTTTAAACCAGGCTGCTTTGAAAGGAAACACTGAACACTGAACTCTTCAGCTCGCGGCTCATGAACAGCTCCACTGAGAAGCGTCGACTCAGCAGATGGTTTTTACTCTTGGACCGCATTTAAATGGAGGTGTGGGGAGGTTTAATGTGCACTACAGATTAAAGTGTCCATTATTCAAATTGTTAATTATTGTTAATATAAATATGATTTGTGTTCATTTGTCTTTTTGTTCTGTAAATATGTTCACAATAAAAGAATGGCCGGACTGTTGATGCGGGTTGTTGTTTATTTAACAAGAATAAGCTAATATCATTAAACTGAAGAAGGGAGGCAACTAACATTTATTTTTAATCAGAGCCAAATTTGACTTTTGAGTCCAAAAGAGGAATGGATAAAAGAAAAAAAGTAAAAAAATGAAAATAAGCAAACTCTTGAATATCACTGAAAAATAAAATTATTTAGTTTAGTCCTTATTGTTTATTTAGAACATGACAGTATGCAGTGAAAAGATGCAATACAAAAAAGAAATTACTCTTAATTATCTTGAACTGATATAGTAGACAAAATGGAGGAAAATCCCTGCCTGCTGTATGCAAAACCTTTTTAGTTTACATAACATATACCTTGTAAATGATGATGATTTGTAGTATACAATAGGTTATAATAAAAGGCAAACCCAAGTACACATTAATGATTTCAGAAACAATTAAAAACAGCTATAGCCTTATTACCACCAAGTTAGTCGGTGAGTATCTAAATAAAAACTTTTAACAATGATAAAGTTCTCAAGCCTGTACATCATCTACCTTTATGATAATTTGTAATAGCAAGTGAATGAAACTAAACTTGTGACATTTCCGTCGGCCTCAGCTGCAGTATGTTTAGTGCTGATCATGGATGTATAATAAGAAGGTGTTGATGGACAAATGTTAGCATGCTAATACGCTGAACTAACATTGTGAACATGGTAAACGTCACACCTGCTAAACATCATGTTGTTATTGTATGCACATGTTAGCAATGAGCTCAAAGCAGCACTGAGACTAAGTGAAGTCTCACACAGCCACCAGTATGGGTCAAAACCTCAAAACTCAAAACTGTTTTTGGTATGACACCAGATGGCTACAAAGTCACAGAGACACATATTTATTGTTAAAATATATAGTCAAAACTTCATATGATCTCAACAGGCTTTTGCAAGATCCATAAACTCAATTAATTTATTGTCACAGTTTATTACAATATAAGCTGCTACTATGTGTAATCATTTTCTCAACCAGGCGTTTAACCCTCTTGGTCAGTGTTTCTCAAACTTTTTCATACCAAGGACCACTTAACCAATAAAAACACACTCGCGGACCACCTAACTCCACAAATATCCAAAATCACATCGTTTTTCTAGAACAGATTACAAATCGCCTGGTACAAACAAATGGCAACATGTATGATGAAGGTGTTGCGCTGGGCTATATTATGCAATCGAAAGTGAAACCTAAGCTCGCTCCATTGCGGAGATATTCCCGCGAGAGTGCGGAAAACTTACATTTATTTATTTATTTCAAATGTGAAATGTTACCAATATACTCACAGACCACTAGGGGGCGGTCACGGACCACACTTTTAGAAGCACTGCTCTAGGTCAGCGGTTCCCAACCTTTTTCAACTCAGGTCCCACTTAAAGGTAGGGTAGGTATTAGGTAAGAATGGAGAAACCAGCTCGAGTGCGCCAGAATTTGAAAATACACAACCGGAAAAAATCTGCCTCTTACATTACATTGCATGACGCTTTTATCCAAAGCGACTTACAACAAGTGCATTCGACCAGGAAGATACAACCTTGAAGAAAACAGAATCATATAAGTACATCAGGTTTCATAGAGCCAAACATTTCAAGTGCTACTCAACTGGCTTTAGATAAGCCAGCCCTTTATTATTATATAAGTGCTTTGTTAGTAATTCTATCGCTCGAAGTGGAGTCGAAAGAGATTTCAGTCTGCGCCGGAAGATGTGCAAGCTATCTGCTGTCCTGATTTCAATGGGGAGCTCATTCCACCATTTTGGAGCCAGGATAGCAAACCCACAAGTTTTTGCTGATGGGAACTTGGGTCCCCCTCGCAGTGCTGGTGCAGCGAGCTGTTTGGCCGATGCAGAGCGGAGTGCACGTGCTGGGGTGTACGGTTTAACCATGTCCTGGATGTAGGAAGGGCCAGATCCATTCGCAGCATGGTACGCAAGTACCAGTGTCTTGAAGTGGATTCTAGCAGTTACTGGAAGCCAGTGAAGGGAGCGGAGGAGCGGCGTGGTGTGGGAACATTTAGGAAGGTTGAAGACCAGACGAGCCGCTGCATTCTGGATGAGCTGCAGAGGACTTTTACTGTTTAGCATTTAGCATATTTAGCATGTGGTATAAAAGATCACTCTAATAAGTGTTTCACATGCACTACTTTGTTCACCAGTCAATACTCAAATCAATCACAGAGGATGGTATCGCATTTAAAGCTAACTTCATTCCAACTCATTACCTCATGTACTCTTTTACTTTTGGCATTATGGTCAATACACCTCATTTACACAAATATCCTCTTATTTTTAAATTTAAAAAAATTGCTTTTGACTTTAGTTAATATCAGAGGAACGTACCTTGATTGATTATCACAGACTGGTATATGTCAACGTGTAGTCAGGGTTCTGTTAACCTTTAGAAATTGATACAATTTGACGCTAAAACAACAGGAACTGAATGTTATTTTTTACATTTGCTTTCTGTTCATTTTCTCAATCTTACAAACTCACAACCAGGAAGAGATCTTACTCTAACTACAACATTTCAGCAACATTCAGAATCAATACCAATAATCTCTAAATGAGTAACCAGAAAAGATTAAAAATAATTACCAAGATTTCCTGGATTTTTTTAATGTAAATAATGTTAAAATAGGTTTTAGGAATCTGTGGTCATTCAGTTGATATTTGACGATGTAAGCAAACATATTTCACATAACTGAATGTGGGGTTTTGCTAAAACTGATATTATGTAAACACCTTCACCTGTTCAAAGGTAAGGTCTGATATAAGGCAGAGATCCTGAGACTTGTTTTTCGGAACCCCCGTGTGTTTTCACGGGAAATCTCTTGTAATGTTTGTATGTCATTATTTCCCTTTCTCCCCTTGTCTGCCTTTCCGTTGAAGTATCAAGCAATCTCTCTTCAGACGTATATCCAATACAAGTGCAGCGGGGCTCTCGTGGCTTCTGCAGTGCCACGCTCCTTCCCATCTGAATCTCATTTGTCAAACACGATTGCACTGAAATAAAAGCCCTCCGAGGCCGCGGACTGTTGTTTCCTCGTATTTAGATGAGTGCTACACACGGATATGCATTCTGATCAGACCCCCTCCCCATGTGAGGGAGATCTGAAGTATTGATCTGGGTGTAAACCTGTGGCACCGAGAAATGGGAACAGTTCATATTTTCTCCGTTACGTTAAATGAGAGTTTGGTGATTGAATGTTTGTAGACAAAGTCTTTTTTCGCCGTGTACTCAAGCCTCTGCCACCTCCAGCGTGACAGCAGGAACAGAGTGGGAAATCACTGAAGACTGAACCAATATAATGCTTTTTACTCCGCTAAATGACTCTTAGAATAGGTGTGCCTTCTTCTTATTCATCTCAAGTCCATTCTTCCACTCATTTCAAACTGTCTCTTCATCTTTTACCCTCATCACATTCTCCTCTCTTCGCTGATCTCCCTGGGCTTCGGTGGCCATAACATAAGTAATTATTAGTAAACCAAATGGAGCGTAGACGAGGCGGGGCCCATTTCCATAATGCTGACTCAGCTGAATCGTGTCAAACCTTCACAAAGTCACGCCGGAGATGTTCTTCGCATCCCGGAGGCGCTGGCTCTCCAATCGGAGACAAAAGGAGTTTTATATACGGCTCAGGAAATGATGACTAGTCCTCGGTCTTTAATGTCATTCAGTAAAAGTACCGGCACAACGAAATGCAGTTAGCATCAAACCAGAAGTGTTAGAAAAGCAGTAAAGTGCAGTGATGTGTATATTAAAAGTATTCTAAATACAGTATGTACAGTAGGAACAGTATTATTAGGTATCAAACACTATGAAGGGACGTATCAACCTCCTGACTGAGCTTATTGATAGTAATATTTGGACAGATTGTCTTGTGTTTCCCCCAAAAAGTATCAAACATACAAAATATGTGCAGCACCATGTACTGCAGGGCATCCCCCCATATTTAATTTTTTTTCCAAACCTCTTGAAGACCCAAACCAACGATCAATAGATCCCACTAACTAATTTTAATCTGTTAAACTGGTTGTAGTTAAGATTGAGTCGACCCCACATCCAGTGCACCTCTGATGTAGAACCCTTTCTTCATGGGCGAAGTTTGAACTTTAAGGTTGGGGGTGCCAAAAAATAACTACAAATGTAATGTATAGCTATAGGCTGCAACACAAGGATTCATACATGAAAATTGATCAGGATAGCCTACAGGCTACTGCAGGTGTGTTTTCATAACTAATATGCCCTATAGATGAAATTACTATGGCAGCGGAACTCGCCGCAAAATAAAACGGCTGCTGCGGCACATACTGCTGCTATAATTAGGCTATAACACAGAGGTCTGTAGGATCAATGTTCCCCAATGCTCACACACTTTTTAATGAACTGTATAGGCATACTAACTAATAACTGTAGGATATAAGCACAGCAGTTTTATCACATTTTGACCTAATTTCAGCGATGAAAACAAAGCCAAGCAACAAAGTAATGACTTTTGTTCACCGTCATCTAGTGATTATGATCTCCATGCATTCAGCGTCTCTGCCCCACAACTGTCAGCAGCGGCCGCTAGCAGGGCGACGCTGTGTAACTGCGCTCTAAGACTGACGTTTTGGACCAGTCAACGCTTCTATCACTGTATATAGCGGTCGGCTTTTTCTCCCGCGTACTAGACGTGATGCCATCCGTCCGGTAGAGTAGAGTTTGAATTAACGAGCAAAAGCGAACTCGAGATTTACGCATTCGAACGCGTCGGTATCGTAGCCACTGGCGGTCGACCGTCATGTCGGCGTCGTGTGGCGAGGGTGCGCGGGTTGGTTTTAGGTGTCGCGCGGCGGGGCGAAGGGGGCGGCAAAGACGGCAACGCAGCGAGTGTGAGCGNCAGAAAAAGATACAAAACAAAACCAGCTCACACACAGATGTGGAGACACCTGCATTGATTCAAAGTCACACACTGTCATTTCCAATG